GCTGCGAGGTGATGGTGCTAACCACCGAGCCACCTTGCAGCCCCACGCCAAGGAAATCTATCCATCCATCCATCCATCCATCCATCCATCCATCTATCCATCCATTATCTATACACCGCTTAATCCTCACTAGGGTCGCGGGGGGAGGGGGTCGCTGGAGTCTATCCCAGCTGACTTAGGGCGAAGGCAGGGGACACCCTGGACAGGTTGCTAGTCTATGGCAGGGCTACACTTAGAGACAAGCACACTCACATTCACACCTACAGACAATTTTGAATCACCAATTAACCTCAACATGTCTTTGGATTGTGGGAGGAAGCCGGAGAACCCGGAGAGAACCCACTCTGCATGGGGAGAACATGCAAACTCCATGTAGAAAGATCTCTGGTGTCCTCACCGTGATATGAACCGGCAACCAGCTGTAGATGTTACTGCAGGCTCAAACCAAAGCCAACACATATCTGTACATATTTTTAGCAGTGGTTCAGGTCCAGCTGCGCTTTCTGGAGCAGTATCTCAACACTGCCGGTCTCCGTTACCTCCGACGGGACCGGCTGTGCACACACGTGTTGTGTTTGTAAAGTCCCGTTACAGCGTGCGTGCGGCTAGCTAACAGACGATCCCGGTGCAGCCATTGCTCTGCCACCTGAGTGACACATGGATTGCCCAAAACAATGAATGAAAATGAAACTCGTTGATTTTACCGACCCGCTGCAGCCCTAAACTGCGGTCAACCCATTTATATCCACTCCAAAGTTCACAACAACCTGGAACATGTAGGGATGGCGAAAATGAGGCCTTGTGAAACATCGAGTCAGTTTGACACAGCTGCCTGAAAGCGACACATTGCGTCAAAACATTTGACACAATCAAAGAGCTCCATCTGCTGGTTGTGGGTGTGTGACGCATTAAAAGGGAAGCATTGACAGCGTGTCCTCATTTCACGTCTTTCTGTTTCAGAGTGTCTCATCTTTGACTAAGAGTTCAATAAAGGATACGTTTCTAACCTTGTGTTACCGTCTTCTTCTGTCTTGAATATAAATGATTAAAGGGGACTTTTAGGTGATATTGGGTTAGGCTACATAAGATGATGGTGTAATTTAAAGTACACTAATCTGTAATGACAGAAACTCTTGCAGCAACAGCTGTTTTTGTAAACGTGAACGTCGTAGAATATGGGTGCTTGTGCAACGGGGATAGTGATTGTGTTTGTAATTTCCCTCTGGGATAGATCTATAGTATTTTTCAATGCATTCATTTCATCACTGTTCTGCTACTGTTGAACTCGATTTCCGTCTGGGATAAATAAAGTATTTTTAATTTATTTTCATTTCAAGGAAATTATGCAACTTTAAGAAGTTTATAGATTTTTATTTCAAAACAAAATCTTTCAATTATGTTGGGTTTCAGTCTGCTCCTCTTCTGGCTCACTACCTCTCCAGCTTTGGAGAAGACCCGCACACAAGGCACCGATGTGGCTGGCATGTGTAAATATAGCTTTGCAAGCCTGTAAAGGTTAGGATAAACGGTGGCACATATCTTCCAGTATTGAAGCGGGTCTTCTCCGCTGGAGAGGTAGGGCTCAGCCAGACACCGCTGCACCTCCACTGTTGCATCTGCTGTCGCATTCTGGGTGCTCTGGGTTGCACCTGAAACAAACAAGTTAGGTGACAATAAGCCTACGTCATGAGAAAATAATGCTGATGGTAATTCGAGGCCAATACAAACCAACTCGGCTGTCCGGGAGGTCCCATAGGCTATCACAGTCTTCTGCTGCTGCAGATCTTGACGCTTCTGAAGTCACAGACTGATAAAGTAGATACAGTATAAACTACTTTTTATGTATATGCATCGCACACCAAATCAAACAAGGACATATAGCGCACCTGTGATGTTGATGGCACTGCTCTCTCAGTCCTCACGATTCCAGCACATTCAGCCGTTATCCTGGCAACGGCGTCTTGTGCATTTGCTGCATTTCCAAAGGCAATAGTTTTAAAGCGGGGATTCTGGATAGTCGCCGTTGCCAGGACACGAATATCTTCTACATGGCACCTTTTCTGCAAAAAGTGTTGCAGGTGTTGAGTGACTTCATTTGCTGTAGTACTTTTCAAATCTCTTGCTTTAGTTGTCAGTTGAACCATTCAGATAATTGGAATTATTTTTGATGCTGAAACAGTCTTTTCAGATGAAAGCTCTGTTGAAGCAAGATGAAAAGGGCCAAGAACCTCGACACACTCATTAATGATGTCATACTCATAACAGGAGAGGGGAGGGATGTCAGCAGCCAGAGATGTGACCGTGGTTCCAACAGGTTCACGCTGTTCATGTAGCCGCTGCAACATTAAACATGTTGAGTTCCACCAGGTGTCGACCTCTTGAATGAGTTTATGTGTTGGACTCCCGAGTTGTTTCTGGATGTCACAGAGCCTCTCTTTGGCCTTGACACTGGATCTGAAGTACGCTACGATCCTTCTCACCTTGGTCCTGATATCGGCTAAAGTAGTACTTTGTTCCAGAGCCTTTTTCACCACAAGATTCAGGCTGTGTACGAGACAAGGCACATTTCTCAGTCCCATCATCTTTGCCATCAACTGCATGTTCGATGCATTGTCAGTAATGACACAGTGCACCTTGTGCTTCAAACCTCATGTGGTCAACTGAGAGTCCAAAGCATTTTTTAAATTCTCGGCTATGTGAGATCCTTTAAAGTGGCCGACACTGAGCAGAACACTTGCTAGCTCCATATTTTCATTAATGTAGTGGCAGGTGACCCCAAGGTAGCCATCCATAGTAATGGATAACCACATGTCAGCGGTTAGGCTAACCGCTTCTGCCTTCTACATTGCTTTGATGGCATCTTCTTTTTCCTTTTGCTCTTTTTTTTTCAACCAATGCCTTCAAAATCTGGCGAGTTGGCAAGACATACGTGGGGTCCAGCTTCTGCACGAAGGCCCTGAAACCGTTGTCTTCCACCAATGAAAATGGCTGGGCATCCATTACAATCACGCCCACCAGTGCCTCATCCAGCTCAGCTTGCCTCCCTAAAAAGATATAATATGAAAGTTAATTACTTATATTTTAAAGTTGTTTTTTTTTTACTTTCACAGTGTTTAGCATATTACTTATGTATAAGTTCACAGGCCTACCTTGATAGTTTGCTGAGCCACCAGGAGCAGGACCACCACCACCACTAGCAGCTGTGTTGGGCGTTGTCTCTGGGTGTTTGGAGCACAAATGCCTCAACATTGAGGAAGTGTTGCTGGTATAAGTCAGCTCTTGAGCACAAATCAAACACTTGACTTTTTTGGGGTAAATCAAGTCAAAGTGTTCCCATGCATAGGAACGTGCTCTCTTAGGCACTGGCACTCCCTCCATTTTCCTTCCTCTCTATTTCACTCACACATCATACCTTTCACTCTCAGACACACTCTACACACACTCACTTTCAACCTCTCAAACACTTTCTACACTTATCAGTATAATATATATATATATATATATAAACCTAAGTATATGTATATCTATATGTGTATTTGTATGTGAAGGTGTGTGTGCTGTGTGTATGTCTGTGAGTGTATGTAGTATCAGTTCTATGTGTTTGCCACTAGTTGTCCACTAAGTGTATCTATATAAATGTCTGTCAACTAAATGTTATTTAATGTAAGCTAATGCAAATGTGATGCTTTCCCTCAATCTGTAATCAAAATGTGATGTCTGAAAATCGCTTGCAAAATCTCCTCCTCTCAAAAACCCACGATTTTCTAAGGCACTGACACCCATTTTAAAGCTTTGACAGCTTGACAAGCCCGACCTCTTTGAAATTCCCGCGAGCTGCTCGACACAAACCGATGACGTGGCGAGGCCTCGACTGGTGTGGTCATGTGACTTTTGTCATGCTGACACGACGTCTCAGGACAATTCTCGCGACGCTTCTGAGTCTTTGTTTGAGACATACTCGAGCAGACACGCTCAAGTGTAGCATCACTAGGAACATGCAGTTAAACGAGGAAGTTAGCAAGTTAGCAAGCTACAAGCAGCATGACAGTAGCAATAATCCACTAACTCATAACTTACATCAAAAAGTAGAGTCCTTTGGTAGCAGACTGCAGTTTGCCATTTGCAGTGACAACCTGGCATCAGAGAAAAATGACATATGAAACACACACACACACACACACACACACACACACACACACACATTTCAACCACAAACAAAATATATCACGGACAAATGTGTGTGTTGGTGCAACAGAGAACATCGTTTGTTTTTTCAGACTGTCTGCAATCACATTTAACGGTGCTGGAGCAATATTGAATGAAAACAGACAAACTATCATTAAAGAAAAGAAAGAAAAGGAGAGTAAATTACCTCAACAGAGTCTGGCGTAGCTTCACTTTCCCCTGCTTGGCTCCGGCTAGGTGAGGATGTGACTGTCAAAAAACGAGGCATGAGCCAACTCCCACAATGCCGTGGGGTTAATGTAATTTGTTGTGTTATCACAGAATATGGACTGAATACAGTATTTCATTGTGAAATAATACAGTAAAATGTTGGTAATATCCTGGTAATACAAAGCTTACTGTAATTACCCCTGCTTGCATTGATTTTTACGTATTTAAGTATTCTATTGTGAATATTACAATTAAAGAATGTAAAATGATAAAACAGTTATTTATTGTGAAATATTACAGTTAAATACTTTGAAACCCTGGTAATAATTTACAGTGTGTAATTGTTGGTCCAAACAAAAAGTTTGCTGCGTCCAGTCCCAAACTACTCAGCTGGAGTTGGTTGGTTTTGTCGTAAACTTTCTTCTGATAAAATCTGGTTCAATCTTTACGTCAATGCAACAACCATGAAGTTGCTCTTTGATCATTGCACTCAAAGTGACAACCACAGAAGAAAATGTTCCATTCAACTAGCCAATCACCAGCTACGTTTCCTTTAATGGAAAAGTGTAACTAGATCACAACATCCGTGAGTAAGACCCGTGAAGTTGTCTTTCAGCTCCAGGTCATCATCACACATGGACGGACTGTATGTTCTTCTGCTATTTTTCTCAGGTAAATTTGAATGTTTTTTTGTTTGTTTGTTGTTGTTTTTAAAATTTAAATGTCGATTTTTAGGTTCCATTTTGAAAAGTATTTTATGCTTGCAGTCTGAGTGCTTTTCTGTTGAGCAATAACCTTCTGAAATTAGAAATTCTCTAAAAATGATCATTGGTGCTTTTCTAATTGTATTTGTACTCTAGGAATTGTTTCCTGCAGCCATCATTTGTTTTCTGGATCAGTGTTGGAGGTGACAGCCAGACCTGGAGACAACATCACTGTCTGCTGTGATTGCAAAATATCAAAGGGAGTATACATCGTGTGGTTCAGGAACTGTTCCCATGAGAACCAACCCACTCTTGTTCTAAAATTAAATGATCGAAAACTGTGGGAAAGTACGGAAAATCAGAAATCTGATTCAAAACCTCGTTTTGAACTTATGAAGAGCCTTTCTTCTGATTCCTGGGACCTGCTGATCAAGAACATCACTAATGCTGACGAGGGCCTCTACTACTGTGGAACTGAGGAGATGAAGATGGAGAACAAAGACCACATTACTGACGTATATATTCACAGATATAGCAACATGACAACAAGGATCACAGTCAGTAAGTATTTTTGTCAGAGTTTTCTGTCTGTGAATGTAATTGTGTTCATAGCAAAATGTAAATATTTGACTAAATGTTCCTCAAACAGTAGCACATTTTTCATGACATGTATTGGGTTTCTTAAGACCAATCAGTCATCGTTTGAACACTACAGAGTGTTTCTGCTGACAATGTGCATCCTTTTAAGGTAACAATAGACTGTCATCTAATGGTAACCTTCTGTAAGCCATCTACAGCTGGTTTCATGAGCCGAAAACCTGTTTTAATAATATAGATAAACTAAGGTTGCAAATTTTCCATTTCTCCAATTTCTCCACAAGTTTATTTACAGCTAAATTCAAATTGAGGTATCTTAATAAAATTGGTTTGAATTTTCCTTCACCTTGAAACCAGGATTTAATGTCTCCTCCTATATCTACTTTAACACTATGTGTGGACAACCTGATTTTTAAGAGTTATTGACTTAAATACGTGTTTATGCTGCCAGTCATTATGTCTTTTGATTGTGGAAAAGCTAATTCTCCCAACTTAATGAAGTGAGTGGTTTGAGCATAATCTGTTTAGAAGTTGTCATAACTGAAAAATATTTGGGAAGAGAACTATTTGAACCCAAACATTATTTTTTTTACAGTGCAACAGAGCAATGCAGAGTTGAGATGAGATAGAGCAGGAGAGTCACAGCATGAATCTGCAGCGTGAAAAGCTGCAGACTGTATGTGATGCAATCAACATGGAGCAGAATCTCAAATTAATGTTTCCAACATCTTGTGGAGCAACAAAGAACTGAGGTTGTTTTGAGAGCAAAGGGAAGCTCTACCCAGTGTGGTGTTGCAATGCAAACACAGTCAAATCATACGTGTGTTGTCTTGAATAAATGCTTGTGATTTGTTATCACCACTTAACCTGCACTTTAGCAACAAGCCAGTGTTCTCTAGAAGTTGGACTGTTTCACATTGTACAGATTTGGTGCTTTTGATCACCTTGACCTGCATTTTATCAAACATCTGAACAATTTTATGATACCATAACATAACATAAAGGGGGACTGCCAGGGGTAGAAGAATATTTTTCTTCTGCAGTCAAACAGCATTTGATGTTTACAAACAGGTGCTAATTAGATCGTTTTTAACTTCTAGTTTATTATTAAGAACAGTTTGAATGCACTGTACACTGTAATGTTTCTGTACTAGTAGTCATGGTGATCAGACTGTGCTGGTATTTGTGTTTTGTTTATGGATCTAAAAATATGACATAGCAGACATTGTCTGAGTGGCTGTTAACAACATGTGTTATGATACAATGCAGTATTTCAGAGCTAATCGGCACAACTTTGTGTCTGATCCAGACTCCACTGGGCCTCATCAAGAAATCCAAGAAAACTGCAAGACTGAGCAAAACTGTGATGTGTGCTGGAAGCTGCTCTTCTCTCTGTGTCCAGCTGTTGCTGTTCTTTCTTCTCTCTTCTCTCTTCTGGTTTACAAGCTTTGCCAGAAAACAGGTATATTTGTCACTTTCCGTCTTTCCTCAGTTCATTGCATTATACTTGTAATATTCTTTGTATTTATGTGATTCTGGATGTTCTGTCTTTCAACTTGACCTGATGGCCACAAATATGTTTGATGCTTCATGTTCAAAATAAGTTTTGTTTGTGTTTCTGCAGCAACAAAACATCAGGATGATGAGAAAAGACATGAGAGCAGAAGTCAAGGAAAACAGGTAAATAACAGCAGCACATTTATCAGTGTTCATGTTTACAGACCTTTCTAATGGTGAATATTTTGACATGTGAAGACACAGGTGTATTTTTACTAAGTCCCTGGTTGTACAGTTACGCTCCTCAGTGATCTCTTGCTCTTGTGTTGATTTGTTGGCTTGTTGTCAATCTACTATGTTGAATACTTTACACATTATTTTACAAAACCACATGGTTGTGATTCTAAATAAAAACTGTGAAATCTTAGGATGACGACGTGTGTTATGCTGCCCTGGATATCCGTCAACCATCACAGAGACCAAAGAGGAAGCAAACCCAGAGCTCAGACTTCAGCACATATTCTGCCATCAAAACTTCCAGGGTGTAAGGGAATAGTAAATGGTCTGCATTTAGAGTAAATTGTGCATTGTAACTTCCACAACTTCCACAACAAAGCGCTTTGCAGTGTTCACTTGAGCCACAGGACCTTTGCTGCTGTCACTCACTTTTGATTGTCTGAGATTCATAGTGTCTGAGTTTTCATAGTTATTACAGTTTGACCATCACAGTCTACTTGGATTTTTGTTCTTTCTTTTTATGGATTTACTACAAAACACATGTATCTTGTATGTTTTGTTCTTTCCACTACTTCAATAACTAATTAAAAATTGACTATCTGCTCAGAAACCTCTAGACCGAGACTCTTCTTGTTGCTTTTATTCAATTCAGCTTGAAGTTCACTTCTGGGATTAAGCTCAGTGTGTTGCACAGTGGTAGAGAGTTTGCACTGAGACATGACAGCTGTTCTAAGGCAATGTCCTGTTTGTTTGGTTTATTTATTTATTTTTCATCTCAATGTCATTAGATGTTTCTTGCCACAGTGCGGATGACTAGTTGACTAGAGTTATTTGCTATATACCAGCAATAACCCCAGAATAACACAACTGATGTTCGATCAATCGCAGAAAATTAACTGCAAACCAATGAAGTCTGTGGAGATTTTGCTCACTTTATAATTTAGGTTTATTTAAGTTATTTCATGGATTTGATGGCTTCAGTATTTTCCAACACTGTAGAAAAAATAAAAACTCCTTGAATGAGTAGGTGTGTCCAAGCCTTTGAGTGGTGCTGTGCATGTGGATGTACAGTAATTTGTTGACAGTGACACCATCTGTTCAGTTTTTACTCACGTACGCACTCGGTGTACAAGTAGTGAATGAGAGGTCGTTGGGGGACAGATGCAGTTAGTGAAAGAGACAAAGAGTGAGCAAATGGTCCAGCTTTTACACTCTTGACTTTCTCAGGTGAGCTGAATTAGCTGCAACTCTTCAATTCTGGCCAGTTACTCTGTGAGGTAACCTGGGACAGCCTGCAACACTATGGGAGGGGCATCACAGCAGTATTCAGTATTGTAGGATTGTTAGAAACACAACTTGTAAAATCTGTGTAAAACTCTTCCGGACAAACTATTTCGAATTTAGCAGTTCTGCAGAGCAACAGAATGAATGATTACAGTTATATCTTCGTATCATTGTTCTGCATCTTTGTGACTTTAAGAGAGATTACTGACCACATCTGCTCTGGTTACACTTCTGGTGCAGTGCACTCTTTTGCAGAGATGGAGAATGTGGTTTCATGAACAGACCTGCTGTGATAACACAAAGAAAGGTCATAACAGAAGATAAACTGTGACTGCGAGTTCTTGTATCTGAAGCACAAACAACTTGTAAACAATTATTGTACAGCCAAGATACAGTCACCTCAGGTTGGGGTGGGTTTCCTTGATGGTGTTTTTTATGAATTGTTTGGTGCTTTGGTGTAAGCTTTGTTTTTTGTTTTTTTTTCAAAGTTCATTTTATTTCCTTGAAAATTACATGATTTCCTCTTTTTACTGTTTTGTTGAGATTAGCTATTCAGTGTTCAATGGGGTACAAACTGTAGCACATAATATTACAAACAGTAGTTGTGTTTCCTTGTTACTTGTGTAACTGTACATATTGTTCCCTTGTATCTAAATATGTGCATCAAGCTTTAGGCTAATAATCTAGATTGATAAACCACTAAAAGTTTCATGGATGCCAGTGGGCTCCATCACTATGAACACTATCAGCCCTCTGCAGCATTTGGAAGCAAGATCAGAATATTAATATGATCCAATTCTGGAGTCTGAAGAAATTTGAAAATGCTGTTTGATAAGGCAACAAGTTTTTGGTAAGAATACTAAATGCCATGTGTCAACAAATGCCAGATATCCCTCTTAGCCTGATACAGACCCTGCCTGCTGTCAGGCTGGATGGTGGCAGCATTGTTGTGATGTGTCTGGCAGAGAACATGAGATTGTTCACCAGAGTCAACCTTGAAAAAGACTCCTGCTTCAGACTGAATGTGAGCTCAGACTGAAGTAAAGCTTGAGCTTTGTAGCAGGCCAACAACCTGAAGCACATCACCAAGACTGCACTGAGGAAACATTAGTAGAAATTTCTGACTCCTTTTCAAAAAGAAATAATCAAACCTGTAATCATATTGACAATAGCAATTGAGCTAAACACATTTTCAATGAAATGTAAAAGGAAACAAAAAAGAACAATTTAATTTAATGCAGATGATATTGTATCAACTGCCCACTCTGTTAATGTCATGAACCACATGTGCTTTTCATTCTTTCCTCCTTGTCATGCTCTTCTTGTATAACTGCCACACAGCCCCACCCTAGCTTTTTTTGTACTGGCTGACCACATCATGCAGCTGCAAGATGTAACAAGATAATACAGTCTTGACAATAAAGATAACCTCAACAGTCCATATTGTAAGCAACAGGCTCACAGGAAACCCACAACAACAAACAGAACTCAACATGTAGACAGACTGAAGCAGAAGATTGGTGGCCAGACAATGGTGTTGTGGTGAATCATGTTTCTCCATTACAAGATACATTTTCTGTGATGGAATAATTTAAATACAAGTGTCTTTGTCACAAAAAAAAAACAATCATGCATTTTGTTTCTTTAATCAATTTAATATATGTCTTTTGGAAAAATGAAAACATTTGCTCGGTCGAAAATGTACATACACCGAATTGAATTATCAATTTTGGTGATCTAAAAAGCTGTGGTTATCAATTTTCTTTTTAGTGACATGGCCTCTTTACTTCCTGTGAGTGATTACCATTGACCACAGTGTCTGGCTTCTCTGAGCCAATTCAAAAATGGCCCATTTGATGCATTCATCAGCCTTAGCCACAAACAGTACAACTGGAAAGTCTGAGGAGCACAGAACAGAACTAACTAATCTTTTACCTTAACAAGTCAGCAAAGTCACTTGGAGCCATTTTCAAAGCAACAACAGATCACAAAATCATCTGTGCAAACAAATGTTTCTAAGTATAAAGTGCGTGGTGGAGTTGTGTCACTGCCACGATCAGGAAGAAAACACATGCTACTGCTGCCACTGAGACACTGTCATGGGCTGAGAGGCTACCATGCAAGAAGGAAGCCATGCTGCTGATCACATGGACAAAGAAAAGGCCTTCTGGAGGAAAGTTCTATGGTCAGATGAGACAAAAAAAAAGAAAAAAGAGAGCATATGGGCCGCAGTGACTAGCTCTCCACATCCAGCGTGGTGTAGTGGCAATCTCTCCTTTCCCCTTCCTTTCTCTCTCTTTGTCCTTTGCTTGGGTGGGCGTGAGCATGGCGTGTGTGCATGGAGTGCTGGCAGGTGCTCGCAAATTGGCTAATCACCTGAGTGAACACACCTGAGGCAGGGAGTGGTCCACCTGCAACGACTCTACCTGCTGCCATAAAAGCGTGACTTAGACCACTACTCCGACACCTGAACAACTCCATTCCTAACACTCCCCGTCTGCTACATGCCTGGACCTTCTGCCTCCCTGCATTGGCCACCTGGTCATCCCTGGATTCCGATCGGTACACCTCCACCAAGATTCAGCATCTGCCTCTGCCATTCCCTTGGCCATGCCACATGCCACCTCTGCCATCCCTCCTGTCCCTCATCATTCCCCTGTCAACAGTTAAGTTTCTGCTCTCTCTCTGGGTCTTGTATTTTGCTTATTTGCCTAATTGTAATACAGCTTGTTTTTGCTGTGCTGGCATTCTGTAGCAGTAATTATAATTTCCTTTGTCTTGCCATACGCGGGGCTATATTGTCTGTTTCGCCGAGTGCATATTTGCCTGAGGCTAGTCTCCNTTGACGTCAATGCAACAACCATGAAGTTGCTCTTTGATCATTGCACTCAAAGTAGCAACCACAGAAGAAAATGTTCCATTCAACTAGCCAATCACCAGATACGCTTCCTTTAAAGGAAAAGTGTAAATAGATCACAACATCCGTGAGTAAGACCCGTGAGGTTGTCTTTTAGTATCAGGTCATCATCACACATGGACGGGCTGCATGTTCTTCTGCTATTTTTCTCAGGTAATTTCTGATTTTTTTAAATTTTTTAATTTTTATCTTTAATTGACAGGTTCAATTCTTAACATTATTTTGTGCTTGCAGTTTGAGTGCTGTTCTGTTGAGCAATAACCTTCTGAAATTAGAAATCCTCTAAAAATGATCATTGGTGCTTTTCTAATTGTATTTGTACTCTAGGAATTGTTTCCTGCAGCCATCATTTGATTTCTGGATCAGTGTTGGAGGTGACAGCCAGACCTGAAGACAACATCACTGTCTACTGCGATTGCAAAATATCAAAAGGAGTATACATCGTGTGGTTCAGGAACTGTTCCCATGAGAACCAACCTACTCTTGTCCTAGAAACACTTGCTGATCAGTTGAAAGATGGGGCAAATTCAAAAATTCCTCGTTTTGCATTCGAGAGGAATTTTTCGTCAGATTCCTATGACCTGCTGATCAAGAACATCACTCATGCTGATGAGGGCCTCTACTACTGTGGAACTATGCAGCTGAAGGTGGACAACAAAGGAGTCATCACTGCTGAATATACTTACAGATACAACAACATGACAACAAGGATCACAGTCAGTAAGTATTTTGGTTTGAATAATTTTTTTCTGTGTAAGCGATTGTGTTCACAGCAAAACATATTTGTTTGACCATATGATCATCAAACAGTAATACATTGATCTCTGATGTCTGTATACATTTATAATAGAGATCAAGTAGATGACCTATTGTGTCATCATAAAGTCCTCCTGAAAACAATCCACCTACTAATGTGTGAAAATTAGCTGCATCATTGACCTCTGATCTGAACTACAATGCCGTGCAATAGTTTTTGCAAATAATTCTTTACAGACCTCTTAGATCTGAAGTGTTGTGAGTCCCTCATCCTTAAAGTTGCACCTAATATCCTTATATAAAAATGTATGCATATTGAGTGCAATGCATTAAATCCTACGTTGATGATAACATCTAATATACACTTAGTGCCACATGGAGTTGTATGGATATTTAAGAAACTGCTAATCTCCTGTGATTTTCAATTGAAATCAAATAAATTCAATTCAGTTTAACTAGCTTTAATGGCATAAGTATCAT